AATGTCCTCAGTCCCAGGCCAACCAGAGGCGGGAGAGAGCTGTGACATAGTGCCTTTCAGGGACAAAGCAGAATGGCCTGCCCTTATAGTAGTGGCTCCCTCGGAGGAAGCTGGGTATCACTCACCCTTCTTCTAACCCGATGAGGTTGACTCAGACACTTCCCCATCCCAATGCCCTTTTGACAGACGGGCTGGACTGTGCTGGGCACATGAATCTGGGCATTTGGAGAAAACATCTCTGTAATTACACCGCTGCTCCGGGCTTTCAGAGTGTGGGGAAGAGGAGGAATTGTGCCCAGGCTGTTCGCAAATTGGGAGTTGGAAAGGTCTGACGTCAGCTGGGTGTCAGAGCTGTTTTGCCAGTGAAAGGGGAGGGGACCCATTTGGTCCTGGGTTACTCAGTACAGAAGGCTTCATTTTGAATGCTGAGGAAATGAGAACAATGGTTTTTGTGGTGGGAGCATTAAGTGTAAAAGCATCTTTTAAGGCCCTTGGTTCTAGAACAGATAGGCCTAGGTTTGAATTTGCTGCTTGCACTGCCATTTGCTGGCTGTGGGATTTTGGGCAAGAACTCCTCTGGACTTCTCTTTTCTCAACTGTGCTCAAATGGGTACAGCCATCACCAGGGGTGAGGTGGGAGGGCAGAGGGGAAATGAAAAGTTAAGCATCAACAGAATAAATAAATAAAATGGAGGTAAAAGATATTATTATTCATTATTTCTAACACAGGATTTTTATGAGAATTAAATGAAGCCATTTGAAAAAAAGGCTTAGCATTGTGTCGGGCATCTCAGGCACATGGTAAATTCTCAGTAAATGTGTAGTTCTCATGATGATTATTGTTAACTCTTGCTGTATTTTATAAGACCTGAGTTCCAGCCTCCGGAATACCACATGTCTTTGGTTTTACGAAATGCATCAAAGGCAAGTTCCCACCAGGGTCCCACAGCATCTTAGTTTTGTGTCTTTAGACGTGACCGAGCAATCCAGCAGCGGCTCTTTTCTGCCCCAGCAGTACTGTCAGGGAGTCACCCAGAGAATGAATGGACTCCACTCCTGTATCCCAAGCTGAGTTTCCGTCACCTGCTCTCAGTTCACTGGGCATGAAGCGTCCACTTAAAAAAATATATGTTTTTATTGATTTCAGAGAGAGGAAGGGAGGAGAGAGAGATAGAAACAATGAGAGAGAATATTGATTGGCTGCCTCCTGCATGCCCCCTACTAGGGATCGAGCCTGCAACCCGGGCATGTCCCCTGACCAGGAATCAAACCATGACCTCCAGGTTAAGGGGGTTGATGCTCAACCACTGTGCCACACCAGCTGGCCACATCACATCATTTTGATGAATCCTTTAACACTGTATTACATTTTAAATTACCTGTCCTGGAAGTGGCCAGCAAACTAGGTCTTGGGCCAGGAGGAAACTATTGAGATGTGTGGTGGATTGGGCACTTGGCGTTGGTCCAGCGTGGCACCTGAGAGCATGGGCTGCCTGTGTTAGAACCCTGCNCTGGGCACTTGGCGTTGGTCCAGCTGGTCCAGCGTGGCACCTGAGAGCATGGGCTGCCTGTGTTAGAACCCTGCCTTCACCTCTTACTAGCCTTGGGACCTAGACATGTTACCTAAGTGCCTCAGTATTCCCATTTGTGAAGTGGGGACAGTAGTGGTACCCACCCCATAGGACTGTTGTGTCCACTAAATATGCGAACTGCTTGGTGCACCCTGAGTGCTCTCTAAACATTAAATGCCATCGTCTGTGTGTATTGGTTGCTCAACCCCTTCTGACACCACTTTTCCTAAGACACACACAGGATCAATAGACTCACACTTCAGTACGTAATTGGCAGCCCTTCCTTTGTCTGCCAGGCCCACAGTAGGTCCTCATTGCTGTCATTGGATGTGAAGAATCCAGTAGTCAGGTTGGAGCCTCAGCTTGGCAACTTTCCACCCATGTGGCCTTGACCTTGGTCAAGTTCCTGAAGTTAAGGGGGGCTCAGAGAGGTGATCTGTGAATGCAGGTACTTCCTTCACTGTGTGAAGGGTCACGCTTCATCGAGTGCCTGGCACACAGTGAGCGCTCCATAAATGGTGGGATTGTTATCATTCTCATAAAAAGCACACAGGGCCCCTTTGGCTTTTGTGGCCTGGGGTACCGAAGCTGGTTCACACGGCGCCCGGTGAAGTCACAGGCAGGCCTGCAGGAGCCGCCAAGGGCAGACGGCCTTGGGAAAGGACCCGTGTTGCAGGCCCCACACGGTCAAAGCATTTTAAAGGCCCTGTATTAGAAAAATAAACCAATTAAATAATACTGCCCCCCATAAAAGCTGACTTTTAATGGATTGCACGCTGGGGTTCTCTCCGTGGCGGTCCCGCAGCCACAGGTCTCGGGGAGCCTGTCTGCCGCCATGGGGAGAGTTTAATCTTGCATGGCGTGGGCATAATTTTACAAGCTTTATGGCTGTTTTTTCTCCTCCAAAGTGTTGCTATATCATTGTGCACCAAGGGCAACTTGCGTGCCTTTAACAGTTTACCTCGTTTTTGGTGGAAATGAAAAATGAAGTCATAAATTAAAGAAAAACACAACATGGATTTTTTCCCCCCCCTCTTCTCGAGGCAACCGTGGAGGAACAAAGGGCCAGTGTTTCCCGATCAGCCTAATCAAATTCTAATGGCTTTTATGTGTGGACAATTGCCCGTAGATCTCCACCTGCCCAGAGAGGGCTGCAGGCCACGGTGGTGTGTTGGGCTCACACCTCTGACCCCAGGAATACTTGGGGCTGTTCTCTAGGGCAGGGGCCAGCAAACTGCAGCCTGGGGGCCACACCCTACCCATCACCTGTTTTTGTGAAATGGTTAAAAAAAAGAAAAATCACAAGAAAAACCATATTTCCTGACACGTGAAAATTAGATGGAATTCAGACTTCATTGTCCATCAACGAAGTGTTGGCTCACAGCCACACCCATTCATTCCTGGATTGTTTGTGTGGCCGAGTTGAGACGTGGCGACAGAGACCATATGGCATAAAGCCAAAACACCGTCTGGCCCTTTGTAGAGAAAGCTTGCCAACCTGGCTCTAGGAAGTAAAGGAGGAGAGAGAAGACGCAGCTTGGAGTGTCCTGGAGTTGATGACTTACCCTCAGGGTTTCCATGTGGCTCAAAGTGACAAGTCCAAGGAGAATTGCATAGAAGGAAGGGTTCACCTTCCAGAAGTAATTGGCGACTTGGGGAGATGGCTTTCTCACCTTTCGGACCTCACATTGGTCTGTGTGGCTTTCCTGGCAGAGAATCCCTAGCCCGGCTTGAGGTCTGGTAACGTTTCATCAGCTCACTTGATGGCTCAAGAGTAGAGACGTTCCTACCTCCCCTCCCGAGGGTGGGGGAGTGATTTTTGTCACAGATTCTGTGCAAATCTAGTTTATGGTCTCCAGTAGCTTCAGAAATTTCTCACAAACACTTTTTTGCCGCCCCCCCCCCGCTTTAAGCATTCGGTATGTAGTAGTAACTCATTTAATCCTCACAACCAACCCAGGGAGCCACATCCTTTTGATGGGGACTCAAGAAGTTAAAAATTTTTAGCTTTAGCTATATAGTTAATAGGCTTGGTAATTAGTGCATGCAGAAAGCTGTTGTTCCAGGGACTGGAATGTATGACTGGACCTGCCCTGACTTCAGGAGACCCGCAAGCAATTCAACCTTTGTGCCCCAGGAGGACTGCAAGCGTCCAGGACGGCATCTGAGCCTTTGTGCTCCAGGGACAGAGTGTCTGCCGTCCAGGATGCAGGCAGAGAATCACCGGTCGGCAGATGAGGGGATGCTAGGAAAATTGCCAGGCTGCAGATTTTATCTGGTTAACCTTTTCCTCTGAATTCCAAACCCCTTACCTACACTTTTCCTCTCCTTATAAAAAGGGCCAGCTTGAGATGAGATGTAAGACGGTCTTTTAGTGCACATAACCCACCGTCTTCTCAGATCACCAGGCATCTGAATGAAGCGCCCATAAAGATTCAATCCTTGTCTCTACTTACTGGTTCTGGTAGTGACAGGCAGCACGCACGCCAGCTTTTCCAGCTTCACTGTTCCCAATTTACAGGTGAAGAAACAGAGGCACAGAAAGGTTAGGTATCTTGCCTAAGGTCACACAGCTGGTAAGTGGTAGAGCCAGGATCCAAGCCCAGAGAATGCCCTGCCGTCCACCCTGCTGCCACTCTGTAGGGGTGAGATGTTCCGGCTGTGAAAGGACCTGCTTTCCTCGTTCCCTCATGCTCCTCCCGTGTCAGTGCACGCGAAAACTGCCTCCTGTGTGAAGAGAAAGCTCTCGTTGATTCATTAACTCATCCCTTCCTCTCTCCCTTCAGGTGTCCTCAGCGTTGTTGGGATTTTGAGGAGTTCACTTAATTTCCCTCTTTTGTTCATTGTATGCGCCGCCTCTGCCTGTCTAGAACCATAGCCCTGTTCCTTTCTGCCTGGAGCCGATATATTCATTAAAAAGAACCTAATTTAGGAGAGGCTTTGGGGAGGCTGGGCCCCTGACTTATCCAGTGGGAGGAGCCTGCTGGGGTGTATGTTGGGGGCTGCAGGCCAGAGGCTTTGGGGATCAGGAACAAGAGGTCCTAGCCGACTGTTGAGGGAGAAGGCTGTGGAATTTTGGAAATATCGCCAAGTCTGGTGTTGGTACATCTCACTGTCTTGGAAACGGCCTTTACGGTGTCTTTTGTGAGGAGCGTGATTTTAATGTTTTCGAGGCCTTGTCTTGTTTTCTTAAAATTTGCTGGGAAGAATTTTTAGCATTATTTCTGCCCTTTGGGATGTGGAGATGACGGAATGTTGGGGGAGGCAGAATGGCCCCTGTGCCGTTAGATAAAGGCCCAGCTTTGCTAGAAGCCCATTTTCTGTCTTCCTTCCCCACCTGTTTCTTCTTTTCTCCCCTGTGCTTTTTTCTTTGTCAAACAACAAACGTTTGTTGCTTATTTCTGATGAGCCTTCACTTTCTTTCCTCAGTCATGCGGAGGAACCCCTTCGGAGTGGACATCTGTTGCCGGAAGGGGTCTCGAAGCCCCCTGCAGGAGCTCTACAACCCCACCCAGGTAAGCCCTGGAGGCTTCCTTGTTGTCTCCATGCATTGATTTGGGGGTTGGGGAATGAAAAACTTCAAAATGCCGTTCATTGGGGATTTGAAACTTTCTTGCACTGCCTGGCATTTTACCTTCAGGGGTTGCTTTCTAGGTCACCCTTTCTCTGTGTAATGGCTCTGAAATTCTAGAGGGGTGGTTGGAATTAGAGAACTGCCTGGGGCTAGTGCTGGAGCGAGCTTTCAGGCCTCCCCAGGTGTTGAGCCCCTGAGACCCACACGGGTGCCAGCAGTGGGGCTCTGAAAACACAGAGCTGGCAGACTGTGCAGTCTCCCCTTTGGCACCCCAAAGGAGGCTCACATGTGGGTGATCTCCAATATCAAAGCCCAATAATGCGCCCGGAGTTCCACCTCATTGTGCCATTTTGGTGAGAAACCCTTGTGTGTGGACACACTTTTGCTAGGTGACTGTCATGGTATAAATTGGACTTGATTATGAAAAGAGTTCCTCTGAGCAAAAGAAGCTCCAACGGAGGAAAAGTGTGCTCTGTGGAAATCTGGGAGCAAAGGGAGGAGTCCTGGTCACCATGGTGTGTGTGAGTCTCGAAGTGGAGACTCCAAGGCTGGTCCTTTTGTGGGAACGTTAATTAGAACTTGACCCCAAGAACTGGTGAGTGAACAATTAGAGGCCCATCTGCTGACTTTTGATTGCTGTTAAAAAAGGGGGGAAAAATTCAATACTTTGGTGATAGTCTCTGAACTTTATATCAAATTCTTAACTTAGTATTTGTGAATCAAGTTGCTTGGTGGAAGACAATATTGCTTGGACCTCAAAGGTGCTGGACTTCCAATCCCACATCCCTTCCCTGTCTCTCGCCTGCAGTTCCTCCTGGAACAACGGGCTCCCGAGTTTGGTCGTCAGAGGTGGTCTAACCAGGTTAATGCACTCCTCCATCAGCCCTCCCTCCACTTCGGAGCTCTTGTGTGACTGGGCCAGATTGTCTAGGCATCTGCAAACTCTGTGGCTTCCTTTACTGGGCTCTCTGTTCACTCAGCAGGGAACTTGATATTTGGGTTTTGTTTGGTGCCCAAATAATTTGATTATAACAGGCAAGTCTTCCGGTCCATTCACACTCTGTCCTTAGGAAGAGGCAGAACCAGCTTCGATAAAGGATAGGATTTCTGGTCGACCACGATGAAAACAACACATGCAACTGAGATGCAAACCGTTCCCATCTTAGATCATTTTCCCCTTCAAAACAAAACCACCAAAGCGCTGCTGTAGCCCGAGGAAAGTTTATGGGCAACATTTGGTGTCACGGGAAGATTCTGTTACTGAAGCAGGTGCCCCTCTGGAGAGGAAGCCCACGGCTGTGCCTGTGCTGTTCACTGGTGTGCCCCCAGCTCTAATGCAGGTGGCCTATAGCAGGTACCCCCAAATGCCAGTGACTGAAAAATTAAAGTCCAGGTTCAAATTCCTACCTCGCCGCCAACTGGTGGCGTAACCTTGAATGCATTGTGTCCTCTTAATGGTCAGTTTCCCCGACTGTCCGGAATGTTGAGAGGCTGAAATAACTGGGACGTGTCAGAGGCTGTGTAAATATGGTTCATCAGTGTCAGGGTCATGAGGATGGATTCCATGCTGCAAGTCTTGACTTTAGAGTCAGACCAGGCTCAAAGAATGGTTTCCTCACTTGTTAGCTATGTGCATGTGGGCAAGATACTGAACCCGTCTGAGGCTGCTTTCCTTCATTTATAACATGGTGCTCAAAATACCTGCCTCGCAGGGTGCATGAGAAGATGGGCCTTCCTCGGTGCTTCTTAGGGGTTTGTTCATTCCCAGGTTCATTCATTCTTTCACTCCTCCGTCTGCTATTACGAGCATGTGCCATGTGCAGCTCAGTGTCAGGAGCTGGGCACAGAAGGGTGAACAGTGCATGTGTGGTTAGCCTTCTGAGTCTGCTTCCTCTTGTTACCCCAGGGTTGACATGAGTGGGTTGACTAGCGAGTAAACCAATCGCAGGAGAGAGAACCTTCCTGGGTAGGTCATCTCATACTCCGGTGGTGTTATGAGTGTTGCCTGGATGTGATGTTCATTGAGCAGCCGTAGCCTAGGACCTGGGAACGAAGCTGGGGCTGGAGAGGCAGCTCTGGGAGCCATTTGTGAGGGCGGAGGTGGGTGAATCACCGCCCTCCATCAGGAATGTCGTGGGCAAGCTGTCTGGCCCTTTTTGCTGGTAATCAGGAAAATGTGCCTGCAGGAAGATCTCCCCGTTTCCTCGGGATGTTGTCCTGGGATGTTTTTTCTTAGGCTGGTTTCCTTTACAAGCTGCAATTACGTTCCATTCCCACGCATGTTCAGTCAGTGTGCTCTTCTTGCAGAAACTGTCTTGGTCATCCTTTGGGCTGCCGTGGGCTGGGGCATTCAAGGGAGAGAAGGAAGCGAGCATTCCTGCTGAGTTTAGTTAGGTTTTGTGTCCACAAGACACTTGCAACCTTGCACCTGATCAGGCCTGGTTGTGGTTTCTCGTGTTTTCCTACCGGCCAAGCTGATGAAGCCGCTAAGCCTGGATTGATGTTATCACAGACGCAGATGACAACCCCTGTAATTGCTAGAAATGAAACTGCTCCTGGAGATCCATGTCCCCTTTTGATGCTGACTGGTTATTTGCGTTTGATATATGATGGTGAAAACTGGGACTGTTTATTTTAGATGACATGTCAAGAAGGCACCATCTTGTTACGGTGTACTGATGCTGTAGGCCAGATGCTTATCCAGATGTTTATGAACATCTCATCAAATGCTTGTAATAAGTCCCAGGCTAGGTATTACACCCTCATGTTATGCGTGGGCGAATTGAGGCCAAGAAGGTCATACAGCTTGCCCAAGGTCACACAGCTAATAAGAAGCAGAGTAAAGATTCAAACCCAGAACGAACTATAAATCTGTTTATCTCTGCTGTGCTCACTGTCACCAGCAAACTTGTCTTGGCAGGAATTACCCCTTCTCCCCTCCAAAAATAAAAAATCACACCCAGATTTTCATTGGACAAAGTCTCAAAACCTCCCTTGGGAAAATTGGCTATAATCTGATTTTAGTGTCTAAGGTTTCTTATTTTAGTGCCTTGCAAACCTCTAACCATTAAAGCAACAATCAGTTAAAAAAGTTTGTAGTTGATATTCTTAGAAAAACTGCACTCTGATGTCTTATAATTTTCCTGGTTCTCTGCTGCCTCCCTGGCCCCAAAATAAAACGTAATTGCCGATCAGATCAGCTGGCGTCAAGTCACTGAAAGTTCAGGAGTTTCCAAGTGCATATTTGTGGGCCGAGTCCATCTGTGGGCCGCCCTGGCTCAGCTCAGTCTCAGGGCAGAGCTCCGATGTCAGCCATTAATAGGGCATAATTGCCCCTAAATGACAGCGAGGGCGAGACAGCTTGTCCTTCTGCCTCGCCCACCTCCCAGTCCTCTCGTGGGTTCCCTGAAATCTTCACAGCATCACTCATGTGGTTCAGCCCTGCCCTGCCTGCTTCTTTCTTTAGCATTTATACTTGCTCTGTGATTACCACGTTCCCAGAAGACAGTTGCACAGCCCCGGGCTCACCAGGAATTCACAAGCACTGAGCCAGGAGGCTTGCACGAGGTTCCTGGGGGTCTCTGAGGACCAGTCAATATTTTATTACAAAATGATAAAATTGGGCCCTTATTGCTCCATTCTTCAATATGTTGAAGTAAATTTACTTCTCCATAAGGTAGGCCCCAGGAGGAAGGCTGAAGAGAGAGAGAAGGAAGGTAGGGACGAAAGAAAAAAGGGAGGGAGAAAGGTACTATTTATTGAATGTATAACACATCTCAGTGACTAGTCTAGGCGTTTTTCCACTCATATCTCATAGAATTTTCAAAACAACCCTAAGAGGAAGGTATCTGATAACCCCATTTTTCAGATAAGTTAACTGAGGCTCAGAAGGGCTGAGTTAGTTGCTAGGATCACACATCTCCTAAATGGTAAGGCTGGGTCTATCTGACCTGGCAGGGGTTGTAGGAAGGTGAGAGCTGATCACTTTTTCTTTCCTGAGTGGAAAAAAAAATGTTTCCTTGAGGCTCTTTTCCCCCAGTGACTAAGCTAAGACCTGGGATGTACTCAGGATAGTTGCAAAATTCCCAAAGCCAGGGCCAAGGCTCATGGGATGGGAACAGCAGTTGTTCATCAAACAGTGGCAGATTGGTGTTTTGCTTAATGAACCTGATATTTGGAGAGGCCTTTGTCTGGTGGCTGGAGCCACGCTAAGCAGGAGTCACCCCCAAGAACTCTGCTATGGGACAGCACACACCTTGGTGAAATTTGGAAGCCAAGGTCATTGAGTCCATTGCATGTTTTAAATTGATAAAAGCTTGAATCATCTAAGGAGGGGCAGGGAACTCTCCTAATCCCAACCTCAATAGTTTTCTCAGCAATGCTTGCTCCTACAGGCATTTGTAGGATAAACAGGAAAAACACCTGGGGAAGAGAGGCACTTAGGTAATAGAGTGTGATAAGTGCTGTGTGAGAGGCTTTTAGCAAAGTTATGGGACAGTCATAGTTAATCCTTCGAGGTGCAGGGCACAGTGGGAGGCTTCATAGATGAGGTGGCATTTGAGCCGGGCCTTTGAAGACGCATCAGACTTCACCTGACAGGGAAGAGGGAACAGCATCACAGAGGGAAGGAACAGCAGGAGCAAGGACCATAGGAGGGCAGTCCATGACTCCTTCAGACAATGGCGAGAATTTTGTGGCTGGAGTTGGGAGCTGGTTGGAGACCAGGCAGGAAAGGAGGTTGGTACCACACTTGCCCACTGTTCCGGAAGGTTTAGTTTTTATCCACTGTCAGGGTCGGAGGTCCTGAGGAGCCCACAGGAGATGCTGTGCAACTTATGAACCAGCTCCTGCTTCTGACTCAGCCTCTGTTGACTGTGGGGCTTCTCTAAGGCAGACTGTATTCCCTGGTCCCTGCAGTGCACTCATCTATAAGATGAAGGG